CACTGCACTCCCTGGCTGAGAGGAAAAAGAGAGGCCCAGCGGTAGATCTTCAGCACCCTGATGGATTCTGACACCATACCTCCAGATGACCTCACCATGCAGTTTCACAGAAAGGAACTCCACAGCATATAAATATATATAACTATATAAAGGAGAGCCACTTTGGTGTAGTGGTTAGGAGATTAGGTTAGGACTCTAATCTGGGAGAACCGGGTTTGAATCCCCTCACTCCTCCACATGCAACTGCTGGTGTGACCTTGGGTCAGTCACAAGTTCTTTCAGAGCTGTTCTCTCACAAGCAGTTCTTGAGAGAGCTCTCTCAGACCCACCTACCTCACAGGGTGTCTGTTGTGGGGAGGGGAGGGGAGGGGAAGGGAAGGAGATTGTAAGCCACTCTGAGACTCCTTCGGGTAGTGAAGGGCGGGGTATAAATCCAATCTCCTCCTCCTCCTCCTCCTGTCAAAAACTCACTGACAGTTCCAGGAGAGTCAACAGGGTTGCCCTCCTCCTTGGACTTGGTATAGGTCCTTTGTCAGAGTAATGAAGGCTGTTTGGGTCTGAAACCAGGCCTGAAGTCAGATGGAAATGTGCTCAAGTATCTGAAGAAGTGTGCGTGCACACGAAAGCTTATATCGTGAATAAAACTTTGTTGGTCTTAAAGGTGTCCCTGGGCTCAAACTTTGCTCTGGCATAATCACAAGCTGCTTGGAGCTGAAGTACCACCACTCAAACCTTCCCCCCACCACACACCCCACCAAAAAAGAGTGTGTCCATCTGCCCCCTTGAGCCCCTTCAGGACTCTCCCTTCCTTCAACAATGAACTGACCACTGAATCCAGCCAACCAGACCTTCTGGCTTGCCTTTAAGGCGTGAAGAGGGTGGAGTAGAAAAGTGAAGCAGGTGGGGACAGAGATACCTTCAGTTTTCCCATCCAAATCTGAAGCAGTGTTGGAAGGAAGAGTGGGTGTGGGCTCCAAGCAAAGTGGATAAAATCTGATGCTTTCCATTAGCAGAGGTTTTGTTAAATTAAAATTAAGTGTGTCAAAGTATCAGTCGGGATGATAATTATGCATGAAAAGCCAGTAGGAAAAAAGCTTCATGAGGAGGAGTGCGGAATGATCCGTTCTGATCTTGGGGCTGGGGAAGTGCTCTGACCGGCAGAAGAAAAATTCAACTGCTGACTAATAGGAAATATCAATCATTATAAATAGAGCTGTACTGCGTATAGTGATTCTTCTCATCCATGGAGTAGGAGTACCCCATGCAGCTAAAGATGAAACACTTTTAAAAACCATTTCTGCCTTTCCTTTGCTTGGAAGGAAATTGTTCAACATCATCATGTCCATTCCAGGAACATCACACCAAATCTCTTTCGTTCAGAGGGGTGAGGCAGAACTCAATCCTTCTATATTAACATATTCCTCCCATGAAGACAAGGAGGGAGCGGCTTCCTCCCATGAGGAAAGTAACGTCTTGATTTACCAGGGTTCTTCCTGGACATTCCTGGCTCCTAGAGGCCATCTCCTGGACAGAAGATATGAGGGTCCGGGGGGGACACAGAAAATTTCAGGGGGGAACCCCCAACCCAGTTTCCCCCCGCCCCGCCCCCCAAGGCCCTTTTGTAATTTTTCCAGTATCAGAAAAATTAGAGTAACAATTTTTAAAAAAACACGTCCAATGAGATATTTTCTCTTTTAGAAAGAGTACAGCACTCCTAAGGCAAGGTTTTTAGCATACAGCATGAACAATTTTCAGGACTTCTGGAAAAGTCTGAGGAAAGCTGGAAAAGAACTCCGATGAACTATTTTTCTTTTCAAGTGGAAAAAAACCCTTTTCTTCCAAAGTATTTCATTCATTCCAAAGGCAAAGCATGAAAAAGTCTGAGGATTTTCTCAATGTTTCCAATTAAAAACTTAGGAAATCTGGGGGGAGCCTCTTACACTTATAGGTATAAAAATATTCAAGTTTTTCTTCTTTAAATGCAGCGATTTTTGCAACAATTAATATGCTGAAATACGTTTAATGATAATACATTAAAAAGTTCCGTGTTTTCATAAACATGCTGGCAGTCCTACCTACTGTGACGCTATGAGGGACTTCCTGTCCATATAATTTACTTCTGTTTACTACAGAATTTTTTTTCTACCTTCAACTTTTATTTTTCCTACCTTTGAAATGCAAAAAAATTAACATTCTATTTGCTATGGCAGCACTGGGTTCTGCAGACCATAACTCATTCTCAAGTACTGGGTATACTGGCAGCGTTTCTAAAAGGTTGGGTTTTTTTAAAGAAAATAAAGGGGTTTTTTTAGTAAGGGCTTGGTACCTTAAGCATTTCATTATATAAAGTCTGCTGAGGGGAAATCAGCATGGCTTCTGCAAAGGGAACTGTTCAGGATCCTTTGAAAACTGCTAACAAGCATGTGGAGAAAGCTGGTTTGGTAGACATGATGGACTTGGACTTCCAAATTTATAACACTCTAGCAAATTGGGAATGAGTTTCTGAAAGAATAACAGGACTGAAGATTTTATTTAGTGATTCTTGTAACTTGTACTAAACACTATGAAAAGTGTACTGAACACAATAAAATTTTGAATTAAAAACCTCAGAATAACGTAAGTAACTTCTAGAAATGAATTGTTTTGTTTTTTCCCAACTTTATACTCTCTGGAGTAATCTTTAGGGAAAGGTCAGATTACATCTAGAAAGCAAAATGCAGACCCTAAAAATGGAGGTTACTTTATCACTTGCATAATAATCAAACTGTTGCCAGCCACACTTACCAGCATTGCTGCTCTCAGATTTTTCATCTGTCTGGGACTCTGGAAACAACAACAAAGAGACGGTTAGGACTTTGTAGTCTCAGGTATCATGAGCTGGAGTAACCACACTCCACAGACTATTGTGAGCTGTCTGGGGAGACTTCAGTGGATGCCTGCACAGCACACAAGATTGTGCCAAACTGTGTTTCCCCTGGAGGAAATCTGGCGTGTCCACCGCTGCGTTCCCTTACTGACACCCACCACCAGTGCCTCTGTGCTGCTCTCCTTCCTGGGTCAAAAGGTCTGTGGCAAAGCGCAGGGCAGCCTTAGGCAGCCTTGGTGGACTCTCTCTGCTGAACTCAGTGAGCTGGAGATGAGACTGGGGAAGCTAAAGAAGCAGCAGACAAGAAGACTGAAAGGAAGGGGGGAAGCTCGTGAGAAAACCTGAACATAAACACAGGTGTGAAAAGCACCACACTGGGATAGAGTGCTGCCTTTCAGGTATGCTGGAGCCTGTCTCCATGAGGAGCAGTACCCGTATGCATACCACTTTAGAATTCGTGACTGTAGCCAAGACATGCTTGTTTTCCCTCAGCTGTGCAAAGGTGGGACTCCTCGCTCTTTCAGAAGCAGTTTCAGATATTTGATTCTGGGGGCCAGGGACACAGCCGGACGGGGCTCTCATGACCACTGCAAGGGGCTTCGTGGGTTTAACATACTGCTATACTCAACAAGCCTCCAGGGTGGGGGAAACTACACCAACAAAAAAAAGACGCTCCCACATCACCCAAAATGAATGAACAAAACACGTTCCGTGACAACTCAGAGGTTCATCAGAAGCAACAAGCAGAGGAGAACATTTCAGAACCTGGAAGAACTCTGACTTCACACACGACATCAGACGCGCGCTTGCCAAAACAGAATTGTTCAGGAGGACAATTCTCATGAGGGGAACAGGTTTGTAATTTCATCCCTTATGAAATGTATAGTGGATGCATTCTACAGTTTCATTTCATTGTTCTTTAATGGTGGGATCCAGTTTTACTGTATTATGTGTTGTCTGAATTATGCTGGGCTCTTTTGCCTTGTTCTTCTAATGCTATAATACGTCTTGCATCTTGGGCTGCGGTCACACTGACCTCTTACCGCGAATTGCTCCTGCAGTCGATTTATCCACAACTTTTTTTATTGGATGAAAACTGGTTACACGTCTCTCGTGAATCACGCAATGAGTTCAGACCAGCTGCGCCGCCCAAGTGGCGGCACAGGAATTTAAAAAAAAATTCATTTGCGCATGCACAAGGGTTATCATGTGCATAACTGTGCATACATATAATGGCAGTCGCCGGGGGGGGGGACACCAAATCGCACTCATTGTGAGAGGGGAGTCCAAATAGGGGAAAGTGCAGAATCGCAGTGGAAACACCCGGAAAGTACTCATTTTTCCAGGTGTAGGAAAACACGGAAGAGAACCGGGAGCATTGTGCGAGTGAGCTCGCTTCGGGGCGGGAGGCGGATTGGCCTGTCTGATCAGCGATTTTACATGCGAGAGGGAACAGCAGTGAATCCCGATCAAAACAACCATGTGACCACACACCCTTGGTGAGAAAGATGGACTAGAAATTAATGAACAAAGAGTTCCTGCAAGCTTCACTTCTTGTAGTGGATGGACTGGCTCCAATGCCCCTGGGCCAAGAACCCCTGCACCTCTTCCTGCAACCCACAAACTGGTGCCCTGCGGTTCATTTCCTGAAGACTTAACTAGGAGCAGCCAGCTCACTCTCCAGAGCATCACTGAGGAAGGCATCGCCCATGTGGCACAGCAGAATGGGGCCCCTTACAGAATAGGGGTGGGAAATTTATTTATTTATTTATTTATTTAAATTTATAACCCGCCCTCCCCGCGAACGGGCTCAGGGCGGCGTACAGATGGGGCCAATGCCCAATACATAAAACATTAAAACTGCTAAACTCGTAAAAAAGAAATGTTACCATGACATTTGTAAATGTTGCAAGCTAATAAACAAAACTGCCCCAGTCATCAAATGGAAATCCACAGCAACTTGACCACTTCTGTGCTTCAGGCATTCTATGGAGGCAGGTACAGCAGCGAGGAACTCAGAGCTAACGCACATTGAATGTGGCTGCATTTCTCTTTCCAACCAGACATACGTTCATGTCATCTACGCTGCCATATTGTTTATAGCTGCAGGTTCACATGCATGACCTGTGTACCAGTGGATGCCACATTCCTTTCCCTGCTTCTGCCTTTGTTACCTCTGACCTTGTAGTCTTGCCTATGTAGTGTCTCCCCATTAATTAGCCGTGAGACTAGTTTCGTTTCCCAGGCTCAGCTCTAACTGTTCTGGGGTTTCCTTCCCGCCCGCAGGCCAATTGGCCCACCGGTGGGCAGGGGGGCTGGTTTGAATGCTCTATATCTCTTGATGCTTGCCATGTATTAGTTATTCCTAACAGTGAACATGTTTCTGCAATCATAGTTCTAACAATAAAGTATAACCTTCTTGGAAGCGTGTGCTCTGTTGTTTGACTGTGGGTTCTGACACATAAGTTCATTTCTTAGTCCTCCTTACAGCTTCACTCCCCCCTTTCCTCCCTATCCAACCCGTCTCCAGTAACAATCGAAACAAACAACAACGTGTTACTCAGACCACAGCTTAACCGCAACAAAAAATGCAACCAGTCCACATTAGTTGGGTCAGGGCAGCAAAAGATGAGCAATGTCCAGTTGTCTGATGTCCATGACTGTCTAGGGAAAGCCATAGATTTCTCAAGGTTATCTTTTTCTTGGCTGTCACTAACTTGTTCCCTCTGTTTCAGGAGCCCATTGCCCTGGCAACATGGCAGCACACCTCAAAATGACCCTCTGTACATTTTTAAGGTGGCATTTATTCTGACCCTACAGAAGCTCCTAGACAGTACTACAGGGGATGCTGAATTCTCGTTCCCAGAGTTTTATAACCCCATGACGTATCCCCTGAATAGACACCCAAAGCATAACACACAGAAACATACCCCCTCACAAAAGGAGACCCTTAAAAAGCATTGGGCTCCAGTTACCCATATTCTCTGTCAGCCAAGACGGGGAAAGAGCTGTTTGAGAGCTGAAAGAGCCATCACTTGTAGTGGTGTGTACTGCCACATTCCCTCCCTGTTTAAGGATGGCACACGACATTTGGGCTTCTCCGTTTTTATAAAGCAGCTGGACTGCACGTTTCTTGCATGCTGTGCCTTCAGTGCTTAGTAGGGGGAAACAAGACAGAAAGCGGTATTAATTGCCATCTCCCTTGACTACCCATTTGTCACAGGGACATTTCACATCTCTCTCTCCCTGTGGAATTACCATGTGAGCCACCTGCACCCAGAGCGGCATGAGAGCCAAAGTGACACTGATCATGGCAGCGGCCACGAGCAATGCTTTGCCCTCTGACTGTAGGCCTGTCCGTCTCCCGGGCCCCGTTTGGCAAATCCCATGTGAGCTAAGCCAACTCTCTAAACAGAATCGTTATGATTTGGCATTTTTTTAAGTTCTCGGGGGTGGTGGTGGTTAAAGGATCTCAGTTGCCCACAATGCAAGTTCACAGCTGAGCTGCAGGCCAGACCTGTGCCTCCCAGCTCCAGCCCCGTGTTCCAACCACAGGATTTAAACAGAGGGAAGCCAAGGAGCTTTTCTCTGTCTTCAGACCCCAACTACACAGTGAAGGCAAATGCCCTCTTGACTCGGCCGACAACAAGCGAGGAGAGCAAATTTCAAAGTGAAGACAGGAAAGGCTCCGTCACATTGGGCCCCAGGAAAACCCCACGTTCGCTTGTCAAATGGGAATAACAGAGACACATCTCACAGGGTCTTTAAAGCAAAATCAGGAAATGTTCATTACAAATGGCAATGTTCATAGACAGCCTCCTTCTCTAGCAAGACCACTTGCAAATGAAGCTAAGAATTTCAAAAAGTAAAGCTGGCCACCCTAAACCTACAGAGAATCCAGCAGTTTTACTCAGGGGTCGTTATGTAGAAAAAGAGTTAGGGGAACTCATTAGCATAACTCATTAGCATATGCCACACACCCTGACATCACCGGAAGTGTGTCATAAGGCCACACACCCCACCCCCAACGGTCCCGGCCGCTGCTGCCGGCCTTGCAGCTCCACTGCCGAGCCCCATGAGGGGCCCAGCGGTGGACCTGCAAGGCCGGCGGGAGGGCGAAGGCCCTCCCTGGCCCCAGGCAGGCAGGGGTGGGGAGAGGCAGGGAGGAAGCACCTTACCCTCCCTCTTCTCCTGCCTCCTCCTGGCTGAATGAGGGCCGGAAGCGGGGTGGCCGGAAGCAGGGGGCGGGGCTTCGTCATGTGCCCCCCCCGTACCTCACCCAAGGGAACTGCGATCCCCCGCGATCCCCCCCGAAATGACCTTTGGTTTTACTCAAACGCTGTCGATAGAACTGGATCACTATTTTAAGCTGAATGTGATCATATAGCACAAATGCACCTTGGCTAAAACGGCCAGAGGGGTGCTATTCTTATTCACACAGCCCAGAGTGGGAGAGGCCGGTGTCGAGTTTGGAGCAGGGAAGGATTCTACCAGTGCTGGTATGGAGCAGCAGATGCCCATGGGTGTGTATTTGCATATGTCCAGTCTGAATGTATACTCGGGATTTTGGGGAATACTGGATACTGATTCCCCAAAAATGCCGGAAATACTCAGGAATATCCAAAAATATTTGGGGCTGCAATTTTAAGGCTCCTGGCCCTGTTTTTCTTCAAGTTTCCACGTCTTCTGGCCAATGGGAGGGGAGGGGTCACGGAGGCAGGTCTCCCAGGCAACGGGGCCGGGGGCACACTTGGGTGCAGGGAATTAATTTGGTGCCAAAAATATTGTTTCTTGACCTTCTCATAAAGGACACCCCCAACACACACAAGTATCACCGGAACAAGAGGCATTAGGAAAGGAAACAAGTATCTCAACAAGCGCAAGCAAATTCCACAGCAACGCCTCAAAGGAAGCTCATGCGCACCACACAACTGTAGCATTTGTTCTTTACAGGGAT